GGGGGTTGTTATGTTAGTCGGTCATGGCCTGTGTAGCCTTCTGGATCTGGCATCATATCTTGGGGGTGTTTTTAAGAGAACAGATGAGAGGCTTCCATGACTTGCTGAGACAAAACCCCCCTCTCTGTTCATATTTTCTGGATGCAGTTGAATCTCAATGGCCTCCCTAACGATGCGATCCATATAGCGGGTCTTGGTGGCGAGGATGGAGGTATTCTGAAGCTGAATGCGGTGTCCCAGATCGATGTAGTATTCAAAATATTCCGTATGAGTTGAAGTATAGCATTCACCGAGTGAAGTCGAGAAGTGGCTACAGCAGAAGGATTAATTGTGACATTGTAAAGTGTATAAGTGTAAAAGCGAATGGGGAATAAATATTCACTACACCCTTGACCTACGTGCAGTTATCTGTCGCACTGCATAGGCAACACATGACAACATGTTTCAGAAACTGGACAACTTATGAAGTTCAGGAATAGCACAAAACCAAGAATGTAAACTTACCCAAAATTATGCATAATAATTTCTGTACTCAGTTCTATGTGGCACTGACTGTGATTAAAAATACTTACCACTAAAACTATTAGTCTACTCTTCTTTCTTAAGTAAAGGAACTAGGTTTATGAGATCACAATAATCTTGTGTTCATACATGTCTCTGTCCTCCTTTCAACTTCGGATTAACTGATATTCATGAACTCAGTATGAATGTTACGAAATTAATGTCACCTCAACATCCTAACAATTTGGCAGATTCTAAAACTTGTACTGTAGAAGTGACACTACTTACTTACTTACTTACTTACTTATGGAGCTGAGCCCTTCCTGAGGAGAAGCCAAATCTGCAGCTACTCAAGAATTTCCCAGCATTCTATGGAACCCGAAGGCTCATTACTGTGTTCACAAGAGCCATCCACTGGTCCCTATCCTGAGCCAGATCAATCCAATCCAATCCATACCATACCATCCCATCCTCTCTCTCTAAGATCCATTTTAATACTGTCCACCCGCCTATGCCTTAGTCTTCCCAGTGGTCTCTTTCCTTCTAACTTTCTCACCAAAATCCTATACGCATTCCTCTTCTCCCCCCTTCATGCTACATGCCCTGCCCACCTCATCCTCCTTGACTTGATCATTCTAATTATACTTGGAGAAGAGCACAAGTTATGAAGCTTCTCATTATGCAGTGTTCTCCAACCTCCTGTCACTTCAGCCCTCTTCAGTCCAAATATTCTCAACACCCTGTTCTCAAACACCCTCAGTCTACGTTCCTCCCTTGATGTCAGAGACCAAGTTTCACAACCATACAGAACCACAGGCAAAATTATAGTTTTGTATATTCTAATTTTTATGTTCTTGGACAACAGACGAGAAGACAAAAGGTTCTGGACTGAATGGTAGCAAGCATTACCCAAGTTCAATCGCCTCTTAATTTCCTCCTGAATCAGGTTTTGATCTGTTATGGTTGTTCCCAAATATCTGAACTGTGCCATATTTTCAAAACATCTGTTTCCTATCATTATGTCATAATTTTGCCCTGCATTTTGGTGATGAGACAGCAACATATACCTAGTTTTCTCTGGGTTTACTTCTAGACGAACCTCCTTACTTGCGTCAATTAAAATTTGCATGTTTATCTTTATGGTATCTACATTATCACCCAGTAGATTCACATCATCGGCACAGACCAACCCATTTAATTTCAGTGACACTAGCATTGCTTAATATAGAATGATGAAATACGAGTATTGTAACAGATCCTGAAAAAATATGGAACTTTTGTCAAGTACATTTCTTGTAGAATTTAAAACAACATGGAAGTCACACAAACTTTTATTTCACTTTTGGTTTGATGGTGATAAGTAACTACTGCAGATGGGCATGTGAAATCTAGCAGAGATGGCTCATAAGATGCCTGTACATTATATGTAAGATACTGTTTATAATCCACTAATTATAAACCAGGCAATGAAGCAAAACTCTGAGGTTATGCCCCTTAAATTTAATGCAGGCATCATACAGGTTCTTAACAGCAACAACAACAGATCTGCTGGAGCAGAAATTTATACAATATGACAACAAGCTTTAAGAATTCTGCTTGAATCCCCTTGTTCAAAGCTGGAAGTTCTGCCAAATGTTCTGTGTCTGATTTACCTATTTAGAAAACAGCCTTAGAAAGCTATTTGCAGCCTAGCACTTCAAAATTCATCATTATCAACAGTACTTTCTTTTTTCCATAAACATGTCTGTCAGTCCTCTCGTGCTCAGTTTTTGCCCAAAGGTCAAAAGACACAATCACTGGCTGATGCGCAACTTTTGACACGTTCGCCAGTATGTATTGTTTGCTGGTATGCAATACTGGCTGAAAAAAGGTCCTGATTATTTACTAGTACAATAATGAACTACAAATCACTTTTGTGACTTAATTTCTAAACCTGATAAACGTACAAATGAATTCATTATTAACAGAACAGTTTATTAATCAAATTTACCATCAGCCCTTTGTAAACGGATATCAGTAAAAAAATGTTTAGATACTTACCAAGCATGGTCCATAAAGCAGAATCTATAACATAAAATTAATCCTACCTACTGAACCCACACAAGTTATCATCACTGTTTGTTGAATTTACAGAATTATTAATCACTTGTGATATCAGAAGATGAATCTTTCACCATGTATTAACCCAATGGCATAAACTTTGGGAACTTTTTCAATTGTCATCCCGTTTGTACTGAATTAAATATAGAAAGAAACAGTTCAAATCTGGTGCTTTCTGAAGAAAGAAATTCATACATATGATGACAGATGACAAAACCTATATATTTTCTGTTTCAATGTATAAAACAGCTGATGCAGAACTGAGTGTTATATAGCTCAAACTATTAATTTCTCTAAAGTACTACACCATGAAGTCATATGGCGGAGCAGTGGTATAACTCCACAGATTCTCATTCTTGGCAGTATATGAAGTTTTTTTATTGCTAGTGGGGTGGGACTAAGCCCCTTGTACTGCGGCCACTTCTGGCCTATTGTACCAGCCCCAGATGATAGGCAAGGGTGATTGTGGAGCAATTGGCGGAATGAAGACTGGCAGGGGAAACCGAAGTACTCGCAGAAAACCTACCCCAGTGCCACTTTGACCACCACAAATCCCACTTGACCAGACCTGGGATCGAACTTGGGCCACTGCAGTGGGAAGCCAGCGACTAACCGCTTGAGCTATGGCGCGGCCTAGATAAAGGTTAGTGGTCACTTCATGGCCTGATGCCCTGGCTGCATTACTTTCTAGAAAAGTGTCCAATATTCATCGTATAAGAGGCTATGCAGGCCCCAGGGACAATATAGACACTGTGGAGAAAAGAAAAACCTTCTGCCCCCGCTAGGAATCAAACCTTGATTCTTCAGTGGTCTCATCTGTAGCTTAGTCACTACTCCCACCAAGCTAACCTTGCTCACAATTTGCACATTTTTATGCAGACCAATGGATTAATATTCATATCTTCAGATCCTCTGAGGCACTCAGCAGCATCACTGCAGGCAAAATCTTTTGGAGAACATAAACTGTTATTCTACAACTATTTCTCCTTGATGATGATGACTGAGGTAGTCCCTGAACATTGGAATTTTACTCAGCAGTGCTGCAGCTGGTCGCTTGAGATGATTTTATCACATTAGCCACTGCAAACACTTCACCCTGTATATTTATAGTAATGCATTCCCAAAATCTAAGATTATTTTTGCCAAAGTGTTACAATTAAAAACCAAACAGATGAATCTAACAGCTTTATGACATATGTGACTGACTATTTATGAGAAGTGTCAACAACTGTCCTGCACTACAGGAATGATGTCAAATCTTACTTACTGCCTCGTGGTCCATAAAATTTAACGCAGAATTCATTAAGTCCTCCTAATATAGTCACTTCATGTTTGCTTTCAATTCTGGATCTAGGTTAAGGAATTACATGAAATGACCCAAATATTTATGACATAAACATCCACTCAGTCATTCAGTGACAAGGAAACAACATAAAATGCCTCAAATATTTATATCAGTATCCACTCAATCACTGAGTTACAAAGGTCAGCGACTATCCTGGAATGAGTGTACTCGAATGATAGTATTCATGGGCTGACAATGCCTTTTGAACTTGGCATGTGTGTGTGTATTCTATTTACTATTTATATGCACTTTCTTTTATATGACATAACTTACTGAATTTAAATTCATGACACACTTATTAAACATACATAAGTTTCACTGGTCTAACACACAAACACCACGAAATGGCACGAATAAAAAAAGCAACTATGTAAAAGTAATATACATCTCATGTTCACAATCGTTCAGTCATCAGCCATGAGACCTGGATCAGCTGATGCTCCACGTCAAGGTTGTTTTGTGACCTTATAATCACGATTCCACACAAAGGATACAGTTTTATAACGTCAGTGTCCATTCGTCGTTTCCCTGCACTTGGAGATGACATTTTATTGATTCTTTAAAGGGTTAAAACCCCTCAATAAATTCACTACCGTAACTCCAGCACTACTTCAACCACAGTTTCTTCAATGTTTTGTTCTGTGTTGCCATATGTTTAAATATTGTATTATCCACCAGAGCTCACTAGCGTTCAATTCGTTCACAATGACCATAAAGGACAATACACGGAAAAGAAAGTGTTGTAACAAAACACATCGTATTACGACACGAAATAATGCAAGACTTGACGTTAACTACTACTGTAACGTACGTTCCAAATTTAAAGATCATTATATGTATACTAAACCATCAGACAAAGGAAGAAACCTTCCCTTTTCTTTTTTTCCGTTCCAAATTAGTTTCAACACGTACAGTCAACAAAAAGAACAATGCTAAACTGTGCTGCGCATAACGTGTTCGATCAGAGAGTGCAATGTTACTGGTAGTTCTAAACCTGTGAACCGTGATGAGTAATGGAAGGAAGAATGACGCAAATTATTAATCTACTAATTATTATTTTCTTGAGTTAGAATGACATTTCTCAAGTATGTCTGCGAGTGAATACGTTATTTCTGTTACTTAAACACCGCATATTTTACGCAGAATGCTCATAATTTCAATCTCGTTAATTACGACTGCCAAGAGATTCTCACGGCAGTGAGAAGGAAATGAGGGCAATGAGTATGAAGATTACTTACTGATCCTACCGATCGTCTGGGATGTGACGCCGTGTTGTCTGGTACATAGTTACGAAAGTTTCGGAGGAAACTGCTGCCTCCGTCATCAGGGCATGAGTACTACTCTGAAGATGGAAGCAGCTGGTTCCACAAAACATTGGTACCTATTTCCAAAACTATATTGTGTTAAACCTACAAGACAGGAAGCTTCATTTAGTTTCGAAAGGCTTCTGACGATGGTACATAACACTCTGAATTATTGGATTTTCGGATTCTGCCCATCGTCCGGTATTCTAAAAACTAGAAAACACAGCGTTTCGGCAACTGAATCTTTTTCCGTCATCAGATGAGGGGGAAGACACCTGCTGTTGGATCTCTTAGAAAAACTTAACCAGTGATTGAGGTTAGCTCTTTCTAAGAGACCCAATAGAGTAGGTGTCTGCCCCCTACCCTGTGGACGGAAAAATATCCAGTTGCCGAAACGTTGTGATTTCTAGTTTTTAGAATACCGGACGATGGACAGAGTTCCAAAACGCAGTAATTCTGAGTAAGCTTCATGGTTACCCCCTCCGTCTTCAGGGTTAGACTAGACAGCGTCACATCCCCGAAAAACACTAGTCTTTGGATAATCAACTTTGAAAACTTTCTACACATAAATTCCAATACAGCAATATTTCCGACTGTTGCAAAACGGAATTGACTTACTCCGAGGAAACTAACACTGCAGTTGCAATTATAGGCATGGAAATATAACCATGTAGATTTCCGCCCTAAAAATGCATTCCAAATAAATTCGGAATATGTAGTGTACTAACAAACCTAAGAAAAGACATTAAAGGGTCAAATTACGCTTGAGTTGTCGGCTAGATTCTGTAAACATTCTTGGCTCTTCGACACGTTTTAAATTTAGAAGCACGATGAAATAGGCCTTCCCCATCGGCGCCGCAAGGATTTTCTATCAACGGTCAGGGAGGGGGGGGGGAGACCAGAAAATTTGCTCGCAAATTACGTTTAAGGCGTTTAAGCCTAGTTTTATTGACTGAACTGGAGTATTCAGGATAGAATAATTATTTTTAAAATACTTTTAATTTTTATTATTCCTGTTTATTATACTTTCTTTTCTTCAATTTTTTATTTTTCTAAAACCGGGGGGCGCTCATGGCCCTTTAATGCCAATGAATGAGAGGAATAACTGACAGTGTTTTAGAATTTATTTTAATATCTCCTGGGCATTAAGTTTGTCTGTAGCTGTTCCCAGACATTTAAGAGTGATTAAAGAAGTATCCTGAGAGATCTTTATCCTTTAGCATATAACACCATAGTCCAGTGAAAGGTAACTAACATTTTGGGGAACATGTCTTCATCTTCAGGGTCAAAGAGTAAGCCATGCAAGGAGACAGCATGAAGCAGATAACAAGACTGTCCTACCTGGCATTATGTCCAAGAAGACAGATCTCTTCATTAGCACTGCTATGAGAACTTCAAATACTCAAAGAAAATTTTACATTGAAGTTATGCAGGTCCCACTCGAGACAACCAAAAGTTAAGAGCATTGTTTTAAGGTCATTATCTAAAATGTATAAAATGCTAACACATATAGTTGAGTTGTGTGTTCTTACTTATACACAATTACTTTGTTGTGTTCCAGTTTGGTAGACATTTTTAGAAATTGAAGCTATTCACACAAAAACTGGAATACTTAATTTTGTTTACAATGTAATTTGACTATGGTACTAACTCGCCACTCAATTGCATTTTCCTGAGGCTTAAGGGTTCCTTGCACCAAGTTCCCATTTCTTGATTTTTGAAATCTCACTGACAAGAATCCCTTATCATACCTTTAAAACATTTAATACTCACATGGCATACTTTACTTCACAGATGAAATGACTATCTGAAATTCAAAGAAGGAAAATATGTAGAATGACTGCACATCTGTTATAATAGATACAGAGATGAATAAACATGACTGAAGCGTGAACAAGAAGTGAAAAGTGTTGTATGTATGTATGTATGTATGAAGGGGTAGGCCTTCTCGGCCCTTGCACTTAGACCTCAGTGGTCCATTGTGCTTCCCCTTTTTTAATTATTCTCTCAGCAACCCCACACTTCGGATGAAGCGCAGGATTTTGGACGTGGGGACGTCGAAATAGTCACTTGGTTCCATAAAGTACTGACCCAAGTGACGTAGTCTTAAAGAAGCTAAAGCCTCACATTCACACAGGACATGTGTGGCTGTTTCATTTTCTATCTGACACCTCTCACAAGTGGGACTATCACTTAGTCCCAGTTTGAACAGGTGTCCTTTGAGGTGACAGTGTCCTGTAAGTAGTCCTACCACCCATCATAGCTGGTTCCTGTTGAGCTTCAACAGTTCCTTCGCTCTTTTATCAGAAGGTCCTCGTATGAGTCACTTAGCTTGCCTGAGTCCAGCTAAGGATTCCCAGTATTTCTTATGTTTTATGTTAGTCCAGTCCCTGATTGCCTGTTTGGCAACTTCTATAGAGATGCCACAGGCTGGTTCAGGTCCTATGAACTGATGTTCAGCTCCAATTTTAGCTAATTGGTCTGCTGCTTCATTTCCAGCAATACCCTCATGCCCTGGCACCCATATCAGTTGTACCCTGTTATGTTTGGCCAGTTCCATGAGGGTTTGGTGGCAATCCCAGACCAATTTTGAATTGATCTGGTGTTAAGTGAAAAGTGTTAGTCATAGTACAATCTAATGAAAACTATCAAATAATTTGAATACCTAAAGGTCAGGTAAAGTTACTCATGTAATAGGCTGTGGAGGCCCATAAGACTGTGAGATATTGAGGTTTTCACATTTTCTAGACAGTCGGCACACAGATGGCAGTGCGTTTGTCAGCCTTATATGCTGGCCAGCTGACTTTTACCCCCAAGAAAATTCCTGGTACTCATTTCTGTTAGAGGCTGAGTTGACCCCAGGGCCATAGTGTGGCTGGAAGGATACTGTGAATTGAAGAATCAATGACCTCATTGGGAATCAAACCTGCGACATTTCGGCTTGTAGCATAGTGCCTCAACCAACTGCGCTACCCCATGCCTCAATTTGAATACCTAAACAAAACAAATTGCCAGGTAGTGATCAAATTCAAGCAGGAGGCGAAATATTACGTTCTAAGATCCACAAGCTAATTACTTCTATTTGGCATAAGAAAGAATTGCCTGATCAGTGGAAGGAGTCTATTATTGTACCAGTTCACAAGAAGGGTGATAACACTGGCTTTAATAATTATCAGGGGATATCACTGCTATGAAATTAATACAAAATTTTATCCAGTATTCTTCTCTCAAGGTTAAGGCCATACATATATGAAATTATTGGTGATCATCAGTGTAGGTTTCGACATTACAGATCAACTACTCACTTCTTTTGCATTCATCAGATATTGGAGAAAAAATGGGAGTACAATGAAACAGTACATCAGCTATTTGTAGACTTCAAGAAAACCTATGATTCAGTTAGGAGGGAAGTATTGTACAATATTCTGATAGAGTCTGGGGTACCCATGAAACTAGTTAAGCTGATTAAAATGTGCTTAAATGAAACGTATAATGAAGTCCATATAGGTAAACAGTTGTCTGATAAATTTCCTATCCAGAAGGGTCTAAGACAAGGCAATGCTTTATTGCCACCCCTTTTCACCTTTGCTCTAGAATATGCCATTAGGAAGGTCCAGGAAAACCAGATGGGACTGAAATTAAAGGGAACACATCAGCTGTTGGTCTATGTCGATTATGTGAATCTACTGGGTGATAATATAGACAACAAAAAAGGCACACAAACTTTAACTGATGCAAGTAAGGAGGTTGGTCTAGAAGTAAACACAGAGAAAACTAAGTATATGTTGATGTCCCATCACGAAAATGCAGGGCAAAATCATTACATAATGATACGAAACAGATGTTTTGAAAATGTGGCACAGTTCAGATATTTGGGAACTACGATAACAAATCAAAACCTGATTTAGGGGGAAATTAAGAGGAGACTGAACTCGGGTAATGCTTGCTACCATTCAGTCCAGAACCTTTTGTCTTCTTGTCTGCTGTCCAAAAAAAAATAAAAATTAGAATATACAAAACTTTTGCCTGTGGTTCTGTATGGATGTGAAACTTGGTCTCTGACATTAAGGGATGAACATGGACTGAGGGTGTTTGAGAACAGGATGTTGAGCAGAATATTTGGACAGAAGAGAGATGAAGTGACAGGAGGTTGGAGAAAACTGCATAATGAGGAGCTTCATAACTTTTTATTTATTTATTTATATTTTACTTCGTATCCATGGATCATTATACATTGTACTATTCTCCAAGTATAATTAGAATGATCCAGTCAAGGAGGATGAGATGGGCAGGAAATGTTGCATGAAGGGGGAGGCAAGGAATGCATATAGGATATTGGCGAGAAAGCCAGAGGGAGACCACTGGGAAGGCCAAGGCGTGGGCGGATGGACAATATTAAAATGGATCTTAGAGAGATAGGATGGTATGGTATGGATTGGTTTGATCTGGCTCAGGATAGGGACCAGTGGAGGGCTCTTATGAACATTGTAATGAATTTTTGGGTTCCATAAAATGCTGGGAAATTCTTGAGTAGCTGCAGAATTGGTGTCTACTCCAGAAGGGCTCAACTCCATGAGTAAGTAAGTAAGTAAACAAACTAAATTAATTTATTTGATTTAGAAAATTGACTAAATGTATTAGCTTTTTTCATTTGCAAAACAGTGGAAGTACACACCAGATTCGTTCACTCTTAAGAGGTCTCGGAATATAGCAGTTGACCAGATTCTTGCCAGGCATTGCCCTTCTGTCTATGCCTTTTTTAAAATCAATTTACTGGATCCCATAAACATTTTCTTTCACCATATGCAGATACTAAAGTATTTACAGTGTTATTTGATCAATCCATGCAAGAAAACGAATGTTAATAAGCAGCAAAAGGAAATGACTGAACAAGAAGAAAACAAGAATGGCAGGCTTTTCTATATTACCTGTCCACACTGCACATGAAATGTCTTTGATGTACTGCTCTTCCAGTGAAACAGACCAAAGGCAAAAGAACTATTCAATGGTCTTCCTTGATATTGTACACATTGGTCAAATTAGTCATTTGCCACCTTCATTCATTTAATTCACACAGTATATACACATCATCATGCTGTATATTCAGATGTGTTATCGAGTGACATACTAGCTTGTAAGAGAGATATTTCTATTTGATTCACTGTGAACGCATTTTCAAAAACACTTTCTATGGAAATTCTATTTCCTTTCTGTGATTGTCATCATCCAGAAATAACCCAGCAGGAAAATACTATTCTATGTAAGGTTTTCAAAACAAGTTAGAACTTAGAAACACAAGGAAATAAAAAAATTCATTGTTTTAAGTATGTTTTGCTTTTAATTCATAAAGTTTTTGGAAGCAGTTTCCATGAAATTGTCCTTCCAACGGTTTGAATTGAATACCCTGAGCATTCTGTAGTCTCCAGATAATTGCTAGTGTTTTGGTAAACGGTTTAGATAGCAGGCTTGAGTCTGTCTCTAAGAGTCTTGAGAGTGACATGCTAAAGTAAGGTAAGAGTAAAGGTATCCCTATAACAGGCCGTGGAGGCAGAAAGGGTTATGAGATGTTGAGGTTCCCACTTTCTAGAAAATTGACTCATAGCTGGCGGTAAGGTTGTCAGCCTTACGTGCTGGCTGCCCTTTACCCCAAAGAATATTCCTGGTACTCATTTCTGTTAGAGGCTCAGTCGACCCCAGGGTCATAGTGCAGCTGGAAAGATTAGGTAAACTGGAAAAAGTCCACCTCATCGGGATTCGATCCCGCGACCTTCCGACTTGTAGCATAGTGCCTCAAACAACTACGCTACCATGTGCCCCAGGAGTGTCATGCTAAATAAGGTAATACATTGCTGTTTCATGTAGTCCTGTGCAGCAGAAGATACTGCCATCACAAATGAATGTTATTATTGGTATACCTATCAACATATAAAGACTGGGATTGGAATATCTGCTTGCATGCCAATTTATTAGATGATCATACTAAATTTTGTGGATTCCTTCAGATGAGTATTGAATTGTCTACAGGCTTTTTACTTTTGGCAGGAAATGAAATTAAGGAGAATGCCAACTGCAGGTGGCCAATATTCCAGAAGGACTGTCTGGGTATTTTCTTGTACTGTTATTTGTAAATTTTAATAATTGGCACTTGAACATAGTAGCTAACTCCAGGGAGCTGATTCCTTCTTGAAACCACCAGTTGCTCCGCTACTTAAGATGGAACGCAACTGTAATAAAAAGGTAAAGCTATCCCTGTGATAGGCTGTGAAGGCCCATATGGCTGTGAGACATCGAGGCTCCCATATTTTCTAGACAGTCAGTTGATAGATGGCAGTAAGGTTGCCATCCTTATGCACTAGCTGCCCTTTACCTCCCAGGAAGATTCCTGTTACTCATTTCTTTTAGAGGCTGAGTTGACTCCAGGGCCATAGTGTAGCTTGAAGTATTTGGTAAATTGAAAAATCCCAATAACCTCATTGGGAATTGAACCCACGACCTTCCAGCTTGTATCATAGTGCCTCAACCAACTATGCTACCGTGTGCACCTAAAAATACATTAATAGGAAAATGATTATATCACAAAAGAAAGTCTGAAGTTTTGAATTAATTTGAAAATAGTACTATTAAACTATGGTGCTGATAAATGGAAAGAATATATGTAACTGATAGTCAGTTTCCAAAACATTAGATTGCGCAGGAAGTAGTTTCCTGAGAAAACTTGCCGCACTTCCACTTTGAAATTGATATTCTTCGTAGGAGATAAACGCTCTGTCATTACAGGTATCTGAGAAGAAACATGGATTAGAATTTAGTGTTTTTAATTAGTTCCACAGTCTTATGTACGACAATTAAATTTAATTAAAACACCAAGTAAGAAGTGCAACAGGATGCTACAAAATAATATTGTGGATCAGAATTGTTCTTGTTTTCAATTAGGCCATTAATCCTTTCTAATTCTGAAGTTACTGCTCATTTTCACCAAATTTCTTTTGTTTCTGGTGCAACACTGTTCATTTCTGCGGTAGATCTTTGGTATTTTTTTTCCTACCCAAATGGCTGAAAGGTGTATCAGTGGGGGCTGAACTGCTCGTTCTCTGAAATAATTTTCCACTTTTCCAGGTAAAGCTGCTACTGAGTAACCAAATGGGAAGTTTTGAAAATTTCCTGCAAGTAGACTATGTTGCAAGTAATCCTACAGGAAAGACATGGTATCAAAGAACGGTAATTTAATTTGAGTTTTCATTTAACTTTCTCATTTCATGGGGCACATGGTAGCATAGTTGGTTGAGACACTATGCTAAAAGCAGGTTCCATTCTTGATGAGGTTATTGGACTTTTAAATTGATCTAATCCTTCCTAGTGTAGCTGGTAGAGTGACTGGCTACAGGCTGGACAACTAAGGGGTCAGAGTTAAGAGTCCCAGTAGGGTCAAGAGTTTTCTCTTCTCCATGTTGTCCAGACCAACTTTGGGGTCCACTCAACCCCCCCTATCCAATGGGAACTGGGGGCTCTTTCCTCAGGGGTAAAGCGTGCGTGAAGCTGACCACTCACCTCCAGCTAGTACTGAGCTCAAGAAAATGTGAATCTATACATCCACTCCCCCATACACCTTCATGGTGCAGTGCTTAATAAGTAAAGCACAGGGACAACTTTTCAATTGCCTTACCTAATCCGTCCAGCTACACTATGGCCCTCACCATCATCAGTGAGCTGATTGTCTAGAAAATGTGGGAGCCTCAACATCTCGCAACTCTATGAGCCTCTATGGCCTGTTACAAGGTTAGCTTTACCTTTTTACCTTTTACCTTTCTCATTTCATACTCTCAATTTTCCCTGCTCTCTCATATATCTTAGGTGGTGCCACTTGTCTTTTCACATTTATATAAAGCAATAACATCATTATTATATATAATTAGATAAATTAATTTCATAATTATAATATAATAATTTATTTTCATTAATTTAAATGCTTTCAGATACCTCACTATGGTAGAGTCACTGACATCTCTGAGTTACACAATTAGAGTTAGTAGGTCAATGAAACAGAGCAGTACAAGACAGGAGGCCATTTGGAATGTTGTTCAACCAAAATACTTGCCTGTTCCTATCAATGAACACTGGACGAAAATTTCAAACTTACCTGAGGACAAATGTCACATGTCAAAGTGTTATGGAAGCAATGATAGCAAATACTATGCCATGAGATGTCCACCACATGGTGAATGATTATGTTGGAATTGCAAGGCCCATCATTTGATTATTATATGAGAAGAATGCAATTCAAACTTGTTTAACATTGAAAAGTGTTGGTGCTTATGGATATATGCTGAATGTATTTGAGAGCATTGTCCTAAGGAGAATATTTTGATCTAGGAGGAGAAAGTAGCAGGAGTCTGTTGAAAATTGTGCAGTAAGAAGTTTGAAAATTATTATTAGGATGATCAATCAGATCATGGAGGATGAGATGGACAGGGACTGAAACACACATGAGAGGGAAGTGCATATGGAATTTTGAGATTCAAACCTTAGGGGAAGAGATATCTTGGAAGACCAGCATTGTACAAATGAGGACAATTTTGAAGTGGATCCTATAGAAATAAATTGGGAGGGTGGAGAGAGAATTCATCTTGGTCAGGTAATGGACAAATGGTGAGCTCATGTGAATATAAATAATGAACCTTTGGATTGCATACAATACTGTAAATTTATTTTTTCAGAAAACAATTTGAGTGCTTTTGATTTGTTTTACTTACATCCAGGGTCAATAACTGAGCATACAGAAACTGCAGAACATAACAAATTATGTATGGAAATCTACTCAACAATTTCTTACCTAAGGCAAGAAATTGGTATGAATTTTAGGAAAGTGACTTCATTAAAATATTTAAATATGTGGATGCATTTTATTGACTGGTAAATGACAATTTTTAAATGCCTTTCACTGCCTGTGACCCTTCAGTGTGTCAACACACCATGGGTAATAGACTTTTGTCTGTTTTATGTACGTACAATGAGTGTTTGCAAGGAACAAGTTGAGAAAATTAAAACAGATTTTGTTGAGGAACTTGTAAAATGAAGAGTATAGTCTTTTGGGGTGCAACATTCTAGTTTGGAGACGGCCTGATATTACAGAGGGACAAATTGCCTCCACCTTTATGGTTGAAAAATTAGTCAAGCCAGAAACCAGCAGAAGCAGGTGGCAAGTTAAATTGGTTTGTTGCTTGTCTTAGTCTTTGACTCTGAATATGGAGATAATATGTTGCTCCAAAATGTCAGGCTGTTTCCAAAGAACATGTCATTACAACACAGAAGACCATACTCTTTGCAGGCATTGCTATGAGAATCTCTAATCCAAGAAGTTGTGAAATACTTGTGTATTCAGTACAGAAGAATTTACTGTTATCAACATTTGGTTATTTTATTGTAATTTTCGATTTTTTTCCAAAAATCCAGGGGGAGGGGGGCAAATGCCTAGCATCTTCCCTTCCATCTTGCCAGTGACCCTGACAATGATTATTTTTTTTTTAATTTTAATTTATTCTGTTGATTCAAACTGGTACAACCATTGGATATAGAACAGTAAAAAATACAAGACAGTACAATATTAATAAATAATGATAAATAAATAAATAAACAAGACATGCAATCATTAAAAGATTTTGTTGAAAATATAAAAATAATAAAACACTGTAAATACTGATACAATGATGTTGCTATTACCATCAGAAATATATCTAGTTTTATGCATAAAAAATTCACCCACAGTATAAAAAGAATGCTCATGCAAATACTTTGTAATGCTTTTTTAAAGCTTTTAATAGCACATGCCAAGTCCTTAATGTCAGCTGGAAGATGGTTATATATCTTAATGCCTGCATAGGCAGGACTTTTTATGAAACATTGTCAAGTGAGTCATTACTAAAAAAAATTAAATTATTCATGGTATTAAAATTATGAATTTCAGAATTTTCTCTAAACAATGATTTATTGGTAATATTAAAGAGAGCCAAGAAGTGTATGTACTGAGATGCTAGAGGTAGTATATTTAAAATGTAAAAAAAAATTTCTGCAAGAATTCCTGGGTCTTGCTTCCATTAGTATTCTAACCATTCGCTTTTGGAGTTTTAAAATGATTGTACTGTGGGAAGAAGTTCCCAGAAAATTAATACGTATGTTATAACTGAATGAAAATATGCATGATAGATTATCTTTAGGGAACTTAAAAGATAAGAAAGGTCTGATTGCTCTTTATAACATGCTTTGTTTAATGTGGAAGCCAACATATCGGTGTGACTCTTCCAAGACAGAGTATTGTGAAGTACTAGTCCAAGAAACTAGAAAACACCGTTTCCAAATGATCTATTGTTGTGTGTGTATTCACTATCGCGGAATCGTGTTTACTGAGCATTTTCCCAGCAATGAAATCTTCTCTTGAATTGAATTGAATTTATTTACATTCTATAAATCCTAAGCAGGTTAGTACCTTTGGATACAGATCAAGTCAAAAGGTTACATACATAAGTACAGGCAATTTTAGCTTAAAAATTAATATAACTTAATTTTACATCATTCTCTATTTACATTGAAGTATTCATCTAAAGAGTAGAAGGAATGAGCATGTAGATAATTCTTTAACTCTGATTTAAACTTTTTAGTATCATTGCCCAAGTTTTTAATACTTTGTGGCAGATTGTTGAACACTTTTATGCCAGTAAAGTAGACTCCTTTTTGATATACTGATAAAGTTGATGAGGGTAGGTGGAAGTTATATTTTTGTCTAGTATTCATGTTATAGACATCAGAATTTAATTTGAATTTATCTTTGTTGTAAACAACAAATAAGAGAAGCGATAATATGTATTGCGATTGAAGAGGTAGAATTTTTAATTTCTTAAATAATTCTCTACATGAATCTCTACTTCTACATCCTGTAATGATTCTAATTATATTCTTTTGTATTTTAAAAATTATTACACTATGTGAAGAGTTCCCCCAAAATATTAATCCATAGTTCATAATAGAATGAAAGTAGGCATGGTAAACCATCTTCAATGTTTCCTGTGACATAAAAGGCTTAATTGATCTCGTTGCATAGCAAGCTGCATTTAATTTAGGTATAATTTGTTCTACTGTTGTGGCTTTCAGGCGTCATGTAGAAATACCGACATTTTGTTCACGAAGTATTCTATGCTGTCCAAGCAAAGAGTGAAACGGAATACTGTACAAAACTGGAGATTTTAGTTTTTTTAATAATCACAATAGGAATAATAAGTAACTTGACTAGTCTGCTGCTGCCATCTGGTGCCGAATTTTGCATATTGTGCGGCAGAAACGTGTGTAGCCTTGACACACCTAAGCTAGATCGAAGGCCATGGCCTGGGCAGTGGGCTGATCAAGCGAAGAGCTGTCGGAGTTGGGGTTATTGTGAAATGTCAGAAGTGTATAAGTAGTTTGTGTAGTGAAAGTAATGTAATTTTAAATATGAGTGACAAAACCGAAGCGGAATTGTCGCTGGTTTTCGAATCGAAAGAAGAGTTACAGAAGTCGCTGGAAAACAATGTTGCTATTATACATCGGCAGTGTCAAGAGATACAAGATCTGAAAAATGAATTGGATGCAGTTACTACAGAACGTGATATGTTGTTATGTGAAGTTAGTAAATTGAAATTTGAAATGGAGATTGCAGATTTGAAGAGACTTCATGATGGATGGTATGTGCTTGCAGTGAAACTTAATCATTTTATTGCATGAAAATAGTAAAATATATAAGGGCCATCCATACTGCAAGAGATTAATGATTGTAAATTTTGTAATGTTTTTTTTATATAACTGGATTCAGTCATTCACTGCTACACCTGGAAGCTTAAAGGCGTTTTAACCGCCGTTAAATTACACTGAGGCAGTACTTTGCATCTTAAGTGCAGAAGCTTTCTTCAAAGGTTGATATTTTTAAAGTGTAGAAAGAGTGGGTCAGTCATCAGCTGTTATGGGTAGGTAATAATGTAGGATTAAATGAGCAGTATTGGGTCTCGTGAAATATGTTATGGTCATGTGACTGTTAGTGATTGAGATTAGAGCATTTATCATTTAGAATATTCATATCAAGTGTCATGTAAGCATAAGTTAACACCTCTTGAATTGGTTTGGAGGCCATACCTTTAGCACGTTTTAATGTAGAAGTGTTGTTTTGTAACTGACAGTTTTAGTGCAAGGGCTGGCAGGATTGATATGTGTTTGAATGTAGCGGATCTTCATACTGGTGTGTGTAGTCATGACTTGTTATTTTTGTTTGTGTATATTAATAATAAATAACAGTAATATTGTTGCAGTGAGTAAACAAATAATGCATGGTGTTCATGTGGAGAGGTTCAATCTCAAGAAATTAAATGAGGTAGAGTGTAAAGAGTAGTATCATGTTGAAATCTCAAATAGTTTAGCAGCTTTGGAAAACTTAAGACACTGAGGGGAATATTAATAGAGCTTGAGAAACTATTAGAGAGAATATCAAAATTTTAGCTAAAGAGAGTCTAGGTTATTATGAATTGAAGGATGTTCATTATTATTATACCAAAGGAAACAAGCCAAATTGCAGTGGTTACAGTATCCAAGCAGAATAAATGGGGATAATCTGAACATTATAAGATGTGAAACCTGCAGGCATTTCAGAATAAAAAGAGGGAATATATGGAAGACAAAATTGATGAGCTTGCAACAAACAGTAAGAACAAGAACATTTAAGAGACTTGTATAGACAAATAAATGACTTTAAGAGGGGTTGCCAGCCTAGAAGTAACTTAGTGAAGGATGAGAATGGTGATCTGCTCTCAGACGCCCACAACATTTTGTATGGGTGTAAGAACACCTCCTCTCAGTTACTGAATGCACATAGGGTCAGTGATGTGAGGCAGTTAGAAATACATACAGCTGAACTGTTAGTATCTGATCCTAGCCCTTTTGAGGTTGAAATTGCTATTGCAAAGTTGAAAATGTGTAAGTCGCCAGGTACTGATCAAATTCTGGCAGAACTGATTCAATCAGGAGGCGAAATGTTAAGATCTAAGATCCATAAGCTAATTAATTCTATTTTGAAGAAGGAAAAATTGCCTGATCACTGGAAGGAGTCTGTTGTTGTACCTGTTCCCAAGAAGGGTGATAAAACTGGGTAGTAATTATGGCGGGATGTCACTGCCATCAACTTCATACAAAACTTTATCCACAATCCTTCTCTCACAGTTAAGTCCATTTACGGATGAAGTTATTGGGGTTCATCAGTGTGAGTTTTGACATGACAGACTAACTGCTGATGAGATTTTTTGTATTCGTTGGGCATTGGAGAAAAAATGTGAGTACAGTGAGACAGTACATCAGCTATACATAGACTTCAAGAAAGCCTGTGATTCAGTTGGGATGAAAGTATTGTACAATATTCTCATAGAATTTGGGGTACCCATGAAACTAGTTTGGTTGATTAAAATGTGTTTAAATGAAATATATAGTAAAGCCTGTATAGGTGAATAGTTGTGTGATAATGTTCCTATCCAGAATGAAACAAGGAGATACTTTATTACCACAGCTTTTCAACTTTGCTTTACAATATGCCATTAGTAAGATGCAGGAAAATCAGATGGGACTGAAATTAAACGGGCCGCATCAGCTGTTGGTCTATGCCAATGATGTGAATCTACTTGGTGATAATATATGAAAGGCGTTCCGTATATAATGCCTCCCATTTTTTTGTGTTAATATTTAACGTCTGAGCTGGATGTTGGTGGTGTTGTAGTAAAGGTTGAACCTTCCTGCCAATATACTATTAGTTTGGTTGTCGTGGGACAGATAGCAACAGCAGAGCAGTTTACCAAAATGGCATCTGACATAGAAGTGCGTACGAAACAGAGATGTGTTATTGATTTTCTCACTGCTGAACAAATTGCACCCATTGACATCCATTGACGCTTGCTAAAGGTGAACGGAGACAATACAGTGGATGACAGCACAGTGAGGCGGTGGGTAGTGCGTTTTAACAGTGGCGAAAGTGAAGTGCACGACAAGCCATGCAGTGGGCGTCCTTGCTCAGCTGCCACTCCTCACAATGAACAGCGCCTTGATCAGTTCATCTGTACAGATCAGCGGATAACGACCAGGGAACTCTTTGCACGGCTTAATATTGGCTGTAATGCATTGGAAACGATGTTGGGGAAGCAGACAACCTTTCGCTTGCAACATGATAACACTAGATCCCATGCTAGTTTGGCAACCACTGTGCACATTGCAAATTTTGGCTGGACTATCCTACCACATCCACCTTATAGCCCCGATTTAGCACCTTCAGACTTCCATCTCTTTGGGCCTATGAAAGATGGACTATGTAGCATTTTCCAGACAACAATGCTGTCATTGCAGCTGTAAGAAAGTGGATAGCCTCTGCTGGCACAGACTTTTATGGGTGAGAAAGGCAGTAGGAATGTGACTACTAGGAAGACCAAGACGTAGGTTGGTGGACAATGTTAAAATGGATCTTAGAGAGATAGGATGGGATGGGATGGATTTGATTGACCTGGCTCAGGATAGGGACCATTGGAGGACTCTTGTGAGCATGGTTCCATCAAATGCTGTGAAGTTCTTGAATAGCTGCACAATAGGCAGCTTCTCAAGAAGGGCTCAGCTCCACGAGTGAGTGAATGGTAATATTATGAGCAACTGCACATAATATTCATAGAAAGAACTTGATATGCATTCAAGATAATTCAGATACAAAATTTAGTCTGTAAAAGTGCATATTGGCATGGTATATCCTATTTTACTTGGAGGTAGCAGGTTGCAGCAAACTTTTCTTGTTGAATACCCACAGTTTGTCATTTAAGTAAATGATAAAGTCTAAATTAAATCTACATTCCTGTTTCCAAAAGGAACAATAACAGTATAGTTGATTATACGTGTAATTTGTTACATGAAGTAATTTTTCCAGGCTCGTACCACTTCACATATTGGTTTATTCTAAATAAAAGAAAGAAAACATGTTAGAATGAATGGCAGGGTGAATGAATGTATGTAACATGTTTAATTCACATTCAGGAAGTCCTAAAATTGTATTATGGGTCAGCCTATCTTAACTAAGGCTCAAGTTCAGTTTCATAATTAACGATTTCTTGTACTATCTATTTTCAATCTGTAATCTGAATTATCTGCATTAGCATCACAGTAGAATGAAATTGCTTAAATACAAAACTGGTGAGAAATGGGAACACAGTGTTACAAAGTAACTTAGCTCTTTAAAGACCATTAAAAGTAGCTGTTCCACTGCTGAAAGTGCAAAGTATAATCCAGGCTCCCCATCATGTTTCATTCCTGGTTAGATTTTGATAGGACAGTGTTCATTCCTGGTATTAGGTTAGGTTAGGTTAGGTTAGCTTAGGAGTTAAACCGTATTTTGTACTTTTTGATGTGTCATTTCATTTGTTGGGTAATATTAAACTGGATCTTAGAGAAATAGGATGGGGCAATATTGAGTGGATTCATCTGGCTTTGGATAGCAACCATTGGTGGGATGCTGTGAACATAGCAATGAACCTTTGGGTTCCATAAAATGTTGAGAAATTTTTGAGTGGCCGAGTGACAGATGGCTTCCCAAAAATAACTTTGGGTGCATGGAAATAGTTCAGTTCAGTTGTCAGATCTGAAGGTTAAAATGTCATCCTGCATTGAAAAGTAGTTATAAGTATTAGACTGTTCCATTAGAAGTGCAGAATTGTAGTGAATAGGGGTTGGATTTGAAGTTCACAAGGCAATGACCATGAAGAGTAATTATTATCTGATATATGACATTATGTAGTCTGGTAGATGTTTATTGACTCTCCCTCCATCTTTCTTATTGTTTTGCTTACTCCTCATCCCTGAAGATGGAGGCAGTATGAACTTCTGAATTGTCAGTAGTCTTCTACTAGCCTATATGCAGCATATCCCAGAAAGTAGTACTCTTCAAGAATTAGGAAATTGATTGCTAACTCCTTCATACAGGTTGCTGCATGTTTTGGCCTCACTTGGCCGTTATCAGGTGTATGTGTTCATGCTAAAATTGATGCACTGTCATCGTAGTATGTTCAGTGATTCAGTATTGAGGGGGTGGGTTTCCCCATGCACCGCGACTGATAGTCTATTGTACATCCTCATTTTTTAATTTCTACTGTCTCCATCCCCTACCAATACTGGTGCTCGCTATCAGCCCCTTTCTGCCAGCGAGGTTTTTACCCTCTACTTGGTAGTTGTATCTAATAGTTAGTCCCTTTCTGTCAGCGAGTTAGTCCCTCCTCTGGCAGTGGTACCTAATACTTTAGCCCCTTTCTGCCAGCAAGGTTTCTACCCTCTACTTGGCAGTGGTATCTAATAATTAGTTCCTTTCTGTCAGCGAGGTCGTCCCTCCTCTGGCAGTGGTACCTAATACTTCCCCATCTATCGGAGGCATTGGAAACTATTTGGGCGGGAAACTTTTTGGCCTAATTTAGCTCAGAGGCCTCCTAGAGGCATGAGGTTCTTTTACATGCCGTAAATCTACGACACGGGAGCCACGGCTTAAAGTCCCTCCCGGAGGACTTATTCCCTGAATTTTTCCACCCTTAAAACTTCCACGACCTCCACTGGGTTTGAACCCACGTACCTTGAGTCATGAGGTGGGAACGTTACCCCTAGACTACGGAGGCCGCTATCGTAGTATGTT